CAAAAAAACAGACTCTTAAATATAGAGAATGAACTGGCAGTCGTTTATTAGTCTTTTATCATTCCTCAGTCTCTCTGATCGTGACTCACAGACAGGACTTTCAGTGTTCTCTATTTCATGCTATCCACCATGCTTCTGTTAGATAGTTAATTCTGCTTCTGTGTAATGAGAAGCTTAGGAGTGGTAGAAGAAATTTTGACAAAATGAGAATCCTTTTTCCTGCCAGGTACTGTGCAGTTAATTAAATCATTTAATCCTTATAAAGACCCTTATACAGTAGATATGTATGGTTATTTTCTCCATAATTCCAGGACTTGATAGAGAAAATGACCACTTAGGAATCAGGGGATGTGGATGAGGCAGGCAATGCTGAGAGTCTCTAGGACAGGTGATTCTACAGTGGGGTGAGAGATTTCCCAACCTTCCTTGTACTGTTCTATATTTCTAAATTTTTCCGTGTTTCTAATAAGCCTGCTTTGCCCTTATCAAAAAATAAGTTAAAATTTTATAAAGGAAAATGAAAGTTATACTTAGTCATTATGGGACATCTGGAAGGTACAGGAAAGAAAGTGCTCATTGCCTAAATGGAAACACAACCTTTGTAAACTTTTTGGTACTTTCCTTCTAGTTGTTTTATATGCATATAATTAAACATTTTTGCATAGTTGTAATAATTTCTCAGTGTTTTTTTCTCCATAAAAAAGTGAGGTGTGTGGTGCCTGGGTGGCTCAGTCAGTTAAACATCCAACTCTTGATTTCGGCTCAGGTCATGATCTCAGGGTTGTTAAGATCAAGCCCCATGTTGGGGTCTGTACTAGGCATGGAGCCTGCTTAAGATTCTCTCTCTCTCCCACCCCCACCCATCCCCCCCTTAAAGAAAAAAAAAATAAGTGAGATGCCAGTACTCATATCTTGATGAACTGTAAAAATGCCTCTTTCATCCTCCCCTCTTCCTGGGCCTTTTTCTCCTTTTGTCTTGAATTACAATCTCTGACACATGTGCATTGCCTAGAAAGCCCCATTTGGTTAACAGATATCAATGTGACAAGCAAGGAAAGGAAAAAGAAAAGCTTATTACTTCTCCTCTTCTCGTTAGCACACACATCATTAATAATACCCTTTATGTTTTTTTCATGGGTAGAGTGATTCAGTCTACACATTCATATATTCATTCATTCAACAAATATTTGTTAAGTACCTTCTAAGTGCCAGCCATTTTACTCTTCAGTGAGGATGCAGAGACAATAGAAGAATCCTTGCTTTTTAGGAGAACACAGAACCATAAATAAGAAAAACATGTGATAAGTATACGTGGAAATATTAATCAAGTCCTGAAAGACCACAGAGGAGAATCACTTGGATTCTCTCTCCTAGAGATCCAAATGATTCTCCTGGAGAAATCAAGGAAAGCTTTTTATAGATAAGAAAATGGAGGAGCTCAGAGAGATTTAGTCACACAGCTGGTTAGTGATCAAATTAGCGTTAAAACCAGATCTGACTGCAAAACCGCTCTTGATTCTACCGAACCAGGTCACAAGGAGGAAGCACCCCTGTTTTCATTGTTTTATAAGTTCCAGATGTCTGCATTTGGGGTATTCTTGAGTCATGGACCACAGCTTCCCCCTTTTTCTCTCCCTATTTCAAAATGCCACCAGTTTCTGGTTTGATCAAAGAGTAACGGAATGGAAGTAAGGAGACCTGAGTTCTCTAGAACGAGCTTTGCCACTGTTTTAACTGGGTTGTCGTGGGCATCTTATTCCTCATTTCTAGGCATCTCTTCCCCATCTGTAAAAGTGAAGAGGTTGAAATAAATCTTTCTAAGCTTTTAATTTTTTGTAAGTAGTATGTCATGGTTTCCTCCTTCTTTTCAAAGTATGTGGCATTTCCTTAGGAGCAAGGGTTCCCGAGGGCCTTGGCAAGTCTAGACACACCATGGAATTGGCAGAGGGATAGGTGGGGGACAAGGGTGAGGGCTCTTAACAGCCTGGGTTTGACTCAGGTGTGTCACTTACATGCTATTTAATCTTGAGCAAACCACTTAACTTCATTGAGCCTCACTTTTCTAATTTGTAAAACAGAAATAATAATAAATCACTCACAGAGTTGGTGTGAAGACTCATTGAGCTTATGTATATCCATCCACACTATTTTGCACGGTGTCTGGCACATAGCACTCAGTGTAGCTAATGATACTAATGGCTATTGTACTAGTACTAATTTGGAGTCCTGAAGAGGTTTTAGAAGTCAAAATACTATAGGGCACCTGGGTGGCTCAGTTGTTAAGCGTCTGCCTTTGGCTCAGGTCATGATCCCCGAGTCCTGGGATCGAGCCCCGCGTCGGGCTCCCTGCTCCGAGGGTAGCCTGCTTCTCCCTCTCCCACTCCCCCTGCTTGTGTTCCTGCTCGTGCTCTCTCTCTCTCTCTCTCTCTGTGTGTCAAATAAATAAAAAAATCTTTAAAAAAAGATGTATTGTTTAAAAAAAAAAAGTCAAAATACCATGGTAGCTTCTTTTATTAATGATTCCTTTATAAAGGCACAAAGGAACCAATATGTCCATGCATTGAATATGGAGTTTTAGTCATTTTCCCCTCAAATGTTCTATTAAGGGGTCAAAGGGTTGGAGTACTATTTGCTACTAAATTTTACTCATGACCCAGAAAAGACTTCCATTAATCTTGTATAATATAGGGGGAATCATTCATTCTTTTCTTTGCTGTGTTTCCAGTGCTCAGAGCAGGCAACAGCACAGGGTAGTACTTTGCAAATGTGTTTTGAGTGAATAACTAATTTCACACTTTGTTTTTAAAAACTGAGGAGAATAGTAGCACTTGGCAGCGAATCTTTTGGCCCTTGGATCTTAGCCTGTGACAGTTGTTGAGTTTGTTTTGAAGGGGATATGGGGACATCCCATGACAATCAAAGCAGAATTCTTCTGATACCAATGTTTGGCTTTCTGCTTTGATCAATAGGCTTATTATTTGCCCTTGAAACCTCTATGGTGCTGGGGAATCACAGACATTCCTCAGGATGATTTACACGGTAATAAATAATCTGTGCTGTCCGTTGCTTGCTTCATCAGTGTCTGCCCTGTTTGTAAAACCCTGGAGGCTCAGTGGCCCCGAGGCTGGAACACTGCCGATATGTTAACTCCAGAACATGTCACTTAGCTTCATTGTTGTTTTGTTGCTGTAATATGCATCCACAACGCATTTTTAAGGATTGAGGTAACTGTAGAAGTTATTTTCCATCTGACTTTATTATAGTTACCATACCATTTATTTTTTACCTCTGTTATATGGTAGGCTCTGCATATATCATCTTCTCTAATCTTCATAACTACCTCTGAGTTAGGTGATTGTACCCTTTTTATAGAAGTGGAAACTCAAACTCAAGGAGGTGAAGTTTATTTTCTGAAATCACATGGCCCATGAGTGCTGGAGCTTAGGTTTTAACTCAGGTCTTTCTGGACCCAAAGCTCTTAGCTGCCATACCATGACATTTTCTTTATCTAAAGGACTTTTTTCTGCTGCTGTGTTTGGTGTTTAAGTTAGCACCCTCTTGCAAAGATCTGTAAGTTTCCCGTATCATTCAGAGATGAATTTTAAATTTCTTAACAGCGTTGCAAATACATGAAATTTATAGTGACGAACATAGCCAGATTACTTTCTTGTTATCCATCCATTTAGCAAATTTACAGTTCCCATTAATTTTAATCTGTCCTTATTACCTGTTTTATATAATAAATATCTCTTAGTCATGACAGACTGAGTATAGATCACCTGAAGTAGGCTTTCTCTCAATAAGCAGAGTTGCTGCTAAAGATTTGTGAATTAATTGGGAAAATTGCAAATCAGGTAGTCAGTGAAATAATTCATTGTCACATCCAATCAATAAACTTTGTAAATCAACTCATTTAATTCAAAAAATGATCTATATAGATCAAGCAACCAATTAAACAATTAGCATACACTTTGCAATTAATTAATTTAAGCATCAATCATATAATTAAAACTCCAAATTTAAGCTGCATAATTTAGAACCCTACTGCCTTGTGAACTGTTAGGTTCATGTCTGTGAATGCTAGCAGATTAGCAGTTTCACAGTGCATCTTTGGAGCAGGGTATCTTAAAGTGCTTTTAATTGATTTTTAAGTTGTCTTTATGATGGTATAGTTTCCCACCCCTTTTCAGCAAATTGGCTTTTTACTTCCCCCAAAGAAAGAGGATGAAGTGTGTGTTGGCTCTAAGATGGGCAAGGCTGGAATCTAGGAGTACAGACTGGACGTTCTGGGGGTGTGAGGAAAGTCCAGAAGTAGTTGAGAGGGCCAGTTATCCACGTCAGGATAACTCAGGTCATTTGCTTTTACTCTGTTAAGTATCCTTGGTGTTTGGAATCATATCTTGCCACGTGAGTCTGATACTCTTCAGAGAAAGGAGAACCGTATGGATTGTCTTTGTTACCTTGAGTACCTCTCCTAACCTAGAACAGGTATTTTCTTAATCCTGACCGTAAATCAGAGGCCTCTGATTCCTTCCCTGCACCAATAATTTTTTCTCCTTTATAGTTTTGTTTGTGTCTCTTTTATGATATTTATTTTATGTATACTTATATTTAGCTAACTAAAAAGTAGTACTTACTTTTTCCCCTTGCTATACTGTAAGCTTCCTTGAGGGATAATACTAAATATCATCTTTGATTTAAGGGCTTAAGTTCTGCATCTTATCTATAACAGATGCTCAGTAAATATTTGTTGAAAGAAGAGAGTACTGGAAAGGCCCTCATTTCACATTGTTTTTCTCCCCCTTTGTATTGCCATGTTTTCTCTTTATCAAATGAAGTAGGATTTGGGGGAAATCTAACCGTATCACCAGGCTTTCGGGTAAAAAACAAAACAAAACAAAACAGCAGTGTCCCAGTTTGCTTGCTGTATACCATAGACTCTAGTCTCCTTATCCCTCCATCATCTTGGTATTCACTCACCTTTTTGGTTTTCTTTTTAGTGACAATGTCAGTGCCTACTGCCTGCATATTGCTGAGGATGATGGGGAGGTTGACACAGACTTCCCCCCACTGGATTCCAACGAGCCCATTCATAAGTTCGGCTTCAGTACTTTGGCCCTGGTTGAAAAGTATTCATCTCCTGGTCTGACATCCAAAGAGTCACTCTTTGTTCGAATGTGAGTATTGACCTTTTACAGATCTGAGTATCTCATCTCTGCCTTCTAGGATTTTGGACTTGTTTTTGGTTTTGCTCATCATATGAATGATACTGGGTATCTGGATGTCCATCTGTAGTGACTTCTTCCAGGGAGATATTGGGGACACCATTTGCATTATATTTCATGCTTCTGCGCCTAGATTAAATGCAGACTGCTTTGCAGTAACAAATTGCATTAGGTAGATCTCTGAACATAATGTCTGTGAACCAGGCCTTTGGACATACTGGGTGGGGTACTTTGGAGCCTGTGAAGCAAAAATTCTGGGTTTCCCTCTTTCTCTTCATGGACTCCAAAGTATATGAAAATGTGCATTGCAGCCACTTTTGTCTTGTGACTTAAAATACTTTTCTTCTCCAACTTTGTTCAAATCAAATTTGATTTTTCCTCTCAGTTGCCTTCCTTTACACTGATAAGGGATCAATTTTCCTGTGCTTTTGGCAGTCTGGTAACACCTATAAATTATAAGCCCTTACCAGAAAAAAGTGTTTGTAAAGGCAAAAAATAAAATCCATGAGAATGTAAAAGAATTCCATTATATTTAAATACTTTGGAAATTATTAAACAAATTTGTGATACAGTTATATGTATGGCTTTTTAAATACCAAGATCTAGCAGCTGGCCTAACTCCTGAAGTCTCTCGCTTCAAAGTAGTGATGAGTATAAATGATATTTGAGAAGTCTGCAACAACTATAATGTGCTGTGTCATCTGTTTTTTCTGTTCGTGACAGAGTTACCAGTACTACTAATACTACTGTGATTTGTTGACTACATTTATAGTTCAAGGAAATGCTAAATATCAGAAGTTAATGAAAATAAAAATATAGACTCAAGTCTCTAGAGTGAGTTTTACCCAGAGGTCCCAGTTGTTAGAGGAAGGCCTGTGGCGTTTTCTAAGCACAGCTTAAGCTTTGCTAACCTGTACTGAGACTGGCCCTCTCCTGGACCCTCTCCTGGGAACAATAGTGATCCTTTTGGCACCCCCTGCTGTTAGTAACCAGCAAATTCACTATCCACAGGAGGGATTGCTTTAGAGGACACCTTTCCCTTGTCTCTTTAAAACATATTGCCTTTAGGGGTGCCTAGGGGCTCCTGGGTGGCTCAGTCGTTAAGCCTCTGCCTTCGGCTCAGGTCATGATCCCGGTGTTCTGGGATCGAGCCCCGCATCGGGCTCCCTGCTCTGTGGGAAGCCTGCTTCTCCCTCTCCCACTCCCCTTGCTTGTGTTCCCTCTCTCGCTGTCTCTCTCTCTCTGTCAAATAAATAAATAAAATCTTTAAAAAAATAAAATAAAACATATTGCCTTTGTTTCAGATTTTTACTGAAAAGAGGATTATGCCGCCTATGATATAGGAGTATTTTGTGTCTTTCTACCCTTGAACAAAGAAAGAATACCTGAGTATTGGGGGGAAGGGGGAGCTGGGGGCGATGACTCCAAGTTTTTGTACTTACTGTTTCATCCCTACTATGAAGTCTTGTTTGGTATATGTAACAGTAAATATTTTCCCTTTTTTAATGTTTCGGAGGGGCTAAAACAATGACACTGAAGAATATTGAAAGTAATTAAAAACTTATGCAATAATTCCTCCTTCCTAATATAACTATTTTCATTTTCATATCATTTCCATGTATATATATTACAGTTCCCATTCTAGTGTAAATATTGTGTTATTTTTACTTAAAATTACAAATATCTGATATCTGTTCTTAGTTCCTGTAATCTACATTTAGAATGTGCCGAGAATCTAGACCAACCCTGTGCTCGTGGGGCTTACTATCTAGTAGGGAGATGGTTTGTCACATCATTAAAATGTGATGAGCAGTACAACAGAAAAAGGTCCAGGCTGCCTTGGAAGCCTACCATGGGATGTTTAGATTGTTTTCTTGCTTTGGTTTTAATAAGTGATTCTATAATAATAGTCCTTATCCATATCCCTTTCATTTCTTCTGAATAACTTCCTTTGGACAATTTCCTTTGGGTAGTAGTATTGGTCAGAGTAGAACCATCTTTAGACTTTCACTTTGTATTGACATGTAGCCTTCTGAAGGATGTTCCAATTTACAGTGCTACGAATAGAATTCATAAAAGTATCTTTTCAAAGTCTTACCGTCACAAAGTATCATTAGGACTTTTTTTCTTTTTACTTTAAAAGATGTATACAGGGGTATTCCAGTAGTCTCCACTTGCATTTTTGTTTGTTTATAAATGACTAAGGGAGTTGTTCTCATTAGTGCATAATTTTTACTGTATAAATATTAACATATGACCATCACATTCTTTTGAACTAAATGTCCTTTTTAAAGCAAGAGCTTTTAAATCATTGGTTTTCAACAGAATGGGGCCAGCGGTAGGCAGGACATACCTTCCCGGGAGAAGCCTCTAAAGTCTATGCAGGGTCTCCGTATGAACCCCAACAGGGTCTCCGTGTGAACCCCAGCTTTGGAGACTGGGAGGAGAAAGAGGAGGAAAGGCAGAGAGTAACAACAACGGCTCTGAACTGAATACTCTTATTTCTTCCTGAATTACTCCCATCCCTGCACTTCGACTCCCAAACACACACACCCCAGTCGATACTTTTTCTATTTTAAAGTTCAAGAGAGCTTATTCAACATGTCTGGAGTGTTTCTGAAAACACGATGTAAAGTAAAATCTTTATGTGTGAGCATTTAGGGAAAAAAAAATGTCAATAAATTTTCTGTTTCTTTTTCTCAGTTGTCTGATGAAATAGTACAGATTACTGACCATTTGCCCCATGTGTATTTTCTTGCTTCAGCAACCTTCCATTCACCTTGCTGGTCTATATTCTAAGTTAGAAAAGCCTCTCCTGCAAATGCAGGACAGAGCAGACCTTCAGGAGTCACCAGGGATGTGTCCAAAGTTTCAGAGAGTGAAGTCCCAGCAAAATAAGTAAAGCTGTTGGTCCTTTTCTGCATTAACCACTTTCTTCCTTGCATCTCTCTCCCAGAGGAGGACGGGCAGGGGGTGTCTGGGAAGACACTGAACTGAACCAGGAAGAGGGAGCTAGGTTTTGACAATAAGCAGTGAATTAGTATTTACTGATTGAAAGTTGTGTATGTGTTATTCCATTTAATCTGAAAATAGCCTGGTTTTTATTATGACCATTTTAGAGACATGAAAACTGAGGCTCAAAAGTATTGCTCTCAGGCCTGGATTTGCCCCCATGCATGACTGCAAAGTCCATGCTCTTTGCAACACCCTGCTGAGGGTTGGGATGGTGGTGGGGAATCTAGTGGTGGTCTCATCAATCAATTAAATCCCACTATCTTAAGGCCAACGTTCAGCTACTATATATTATAGTGTAGTAGGTAAGAGCCTGGGGGCCTCTGGAGCCAGAATGCATGGGTGCCATTCCTGACCTTACCCTCACTCGTGTGTGTGTGTAATCTTGGATGAATTGCTTAGCTTTTTTGTGGCCCAAATGAGGATAATAATAATACCTACCTTATAGAGCCATGATGAGGATTCAATGAGTTGATATATGTAAAGCATTTAGAACAGTGCCTGGATTAGGTAAGCATTGTCTGAGTGTTTATTGCAGTTATTGTTGTTACGACTAGAAACCCTTTGAGGGCAAGAACTGGATCATTTATGCCCCACAACACCCAGCATAGATCCATTACTGTGGTAGGTACACCACAAATATTTCTTGAATGAACTGAATAGAACTCTTTGCTGCTTCTGCATTTTTCTTCTTCCCCTCCTTTCTGTTTTCTAGCAGAGAGGGGCAGAGTGTGGGTAGACATTGCTCCACTGTACTGAAAAGTTATTGGGACAACTTCTGCTGAGTTAGGGGTAGGGGTAGGGGTAGACATTGGCAGGACATTGGAGATCTGTAGACTTCAAATCAGCCCTCTTACGGGCAGACATCCTTTAAGAGATGGTAGCAAGACTATAAACTCCTTGAAGAGAGGGTGCACATGGTCTTATTTATCTCTATATCCTTGGCAGCCAGCAGGGCTTCATAGAGAAGGAATGGATGAATCTTCAGGTGTCTTTGGGCTGCATTGGAGGACCCCTGACCAAACTTCCTCTCCTACTACACTTTCTGAACCCACCTAGCTCCTTGTTCCTGCTTTTTGAATACCATGAAGCCCCCAGCTTGCCTTCTGGCTTTCCGTGGCCCTCACACCACCCACCTCACCCCTCACATCTCCCATATACATACCATCTTTCCCCACTCCAGGCGAGGCTGCACAGACTTTGAACTTCAGCTAACCTGGGTTCAAGTTTCAGTTTCACTGGCGACTTGCTACATGACCATAGTCATGCTTTATCTGTATATATCTGTAAATATATATACATATATATTTACAGATAAATATCTGTAAAATGGGAATAATAACTACCTCGTGGAATTGTCATGAGGAATGTTCTTAAATGTAAGTAATGTACAGACCTCTTTTAAAGGAAAATTAATTCTCCTGAAGCCTCAATGTTTGCCTAAATTTGTTTTATTATAAAGTTACTTAAATACACTTAAAAATTCTAGCTATAAATTCCATGTCTTTATGCAATCCAAACAAAATTACAAATTAAATACAAATAAAACTATAACATTAATAAAATACAAATTAACAATTTAACGCAACAGATGATGTTCTGCTCTGATTAAAGTCACTGATGTTGGATTTAATGGGTGTTAAATGTTTTACTTGTCAACTTGAGTTTTTTGATTTTCATATGAAACATTGACTACCATATTAATATTTGTCCTTTTTTTTTTATTTATTTGAGAGAGAGAATGAGATAGAGAGAGAGAGCACGAGAGGGGGGAGTCAGAGGGAGGAGCAGACTCCCTGCCGAGCAGGGAGCCCGATGAGGGCCTCGATCCTGGGACTCCAGGATCATGACCTGAGCCGAAGGCAGTCGCTTAACGAACTGAGGCACCCAGGCACCCTTAATATTTGTCCTTTTAAACAGTGAGTATATTTTTAACTACT